CATGTGATTGTTGTATTTCTAGTTACACTTTATCATTTTCATATCAGTCAAAATAATTACATCCATAAATAACACCTTCACTCTATTAAAAAAAGATAACATTACACACATTTGATAATTCAAATGACCCAATTATTAAAAGAAAACTTAAACAACGAATCTATTAAAAAAACAATAATTTAAAAGACCTCTAGTATAATTCTATCTACTTTTTTATCATCCTAATAACAACCACATCTACTTTCTCATTTTAATATTTATAATGTTTTTCAGTAAAGATTCAAAATATTTGGAGTCATGTCATGAATGTGTTTGCAGACACTCAATAAGATTCAAAGTATTGGCACACTATAAACAATCATACAACTTTAATATACACTCATATTTTATTTGATTAGAGTCCAGATCAAACATGTAAGTTACTACATAAAAATTTGATTTTGATGCTTCATAATGAACTCAATCTAACACATTATCTCGAGAAGTAAATTTCTTCTCAATTGTAAAGTTCCCCAAAATCAAGTTTCTCAACCACTTGTTTTACAATACCCATTTTCAAATCAACTAGGATATTTCACCATAACTTAAATAATATCAAAGAAATTGAAACAAAACTTAAAAACTAGAAAAATAACACCTACAAGATGGACCCTCCTAAAATTATTTGTTCATCATACTAAAATAATTCAACACTTTAATTTTAGAGAAAATACACACAATATTAATAGTAAGAGTTTTAAAATTGCACTATCTTTGATTTGAGATGAAATCGAAGTTGATAGAATCAATAGATTAAGAGATTATGTTTATCTTATGTAAATTAAATTACATAAAAAAAAAATTATATTTTTGAGTGAGTCCAAATGAGTATATTGAAAAAGTTTAAGAATTTTAAAGTTTCTAGATCACTTTACACATACATAGTAATAAAAATCCTAATTTTTGGTTTCTTAAACCATTTCAATTAATAGTTAATTACGAATATTTGATTTTAAGAACACAAATTCAAATACATAACATTTTATTTATTCATCTTTTATGTGTGAAATTTTAATCATCAATTTACTAGACTTCAAAAAGAATAAAAATTGATCATACTAAAAAAAATACACTAAAAAAGATCTTTTCAATAAAGGTTAAAAATAAAAACAAGAAACCTCAAAGTCTTGAGGTGTATTAAGAAATTTCAAAAAAAGAAAAAAAATAGAAGCTATCAAAAGGAGAATTTAACGTGACACTCTCAAATTATATCTGACATCTTCCAAAGCGTATGAAAAGACAATACTAATCCTATAAAATTATTTCTAAAAATTTCGAAACTCACATGTTGGGGCTGAAATTTGAAATCTTAGGAGTGGTATCGAAAATTTGAAAAACAGTGAGTTTTTCATCGGAAATTTCAAAATTTCCGGTATTTTTAGTGAAATATGTACCAAAAATTTCAAAATTTATGATATTTCCTTTAAAATGTATACTGAAAATCTCAAAATTTCAAATACAAATCTCATTCTTTATACTGAAAATTAAAAAATTTCCGATAGTTATAAAAAAAACTTGTTTTGTACCCAAAACATTGAAATCTCCGATATGTGTATAAATTTTGTTTAGTGCCGAAAATTTTGAAATTTTTGGTAGTTGTCAAAAAAAAATTTGTTGATATTTTTCTTCTTTTGCAGTGAAATGCAGAGGCAGAGACGACACTATTGTAGGGATAGATGTTGATCGAGCAGCAAATTAGAGTAGGGCTGCTAGAGGTGCTGATGCTGAGTCTTCCCAAATACAGGCAGGACAAGTGGTCCCAACCGGTTCACACCAGAACCGGTTGGCTGAGCGAGGCCAGTTCTGGGCACCTCGTTCCATTCGATGTCGACCAAGTCGATCAGTAGAGTAACCTACATATAAGGTGGTGCCAGATGTTGTTGTATTTGATCTTGTTGATCATCCAGTGGTAGATCCGGTTGTTTACCTGGTGGTTGAGGAGGTTGTTGATCCAGTTGCTAAGGATGTTGTTGATGAGGAGGTTGTTGGTGGTGGTGAGTCAGCTTCATCGATTATTGATGACACAAAGGTTACGAATCCTTCGATTGAGCCCTCTGTGCACACGGACGGAGGATTTTCAAAAGGACATATCAATTAGTCGATGTTTATAGAGTATGTTGAGCATGCGGCCTTACGACTATGACAAGGCGAGGTATATGCCTTTTATGTTTAACTTTAATTTTTTATATATGCCTGTCACATAATGTATCAACTAATTTGTTTATATTTTTTGTCACATGAGCGGCCCACACTGAAGGTGACATCACACGGGTCGAAGATGAAGGATTTCTTCAAGATTCTGATGCCTGAGCAGGTCAGACGGATTATACGAGACTTTCAGGTGTTTGATTTTGCCTACTATGATCCTTCACCATGCTAGACACTTCATTACTTAGTGTGTTTGTTGAGAGGTGGCACAAGGAGACATCATCGTCTCATCTTCTGTTCGACGAGATGATTATCGCTCTGGATGATGTCTTCGTATTGTTCCATCTCTCCATAAGGGGCAGATTCTGGATGAATCTTGTTCTTAGCATGACCCTTGCATGCCAGGTTGTGGCACATGATTTGAGTTTGTCTAAGGCAAAGGTACTGAAGAAGTTTGGTGAGACCAGGGTGCGCACCTTTGTATGTCTTTGCTTCGAAAGATATACGACCAGCTTGTATCTGCTGGGAGGTATGAGCCTACCGTTAGAGCGTACATGCTACATATAGTATCATGTACTCTCTTTGCAAACAAGTCTAGTGTTTATATCGATGTCTGATACGCGTGCCTCTTCAGTAGCCTCGAGGACACTAATTGGAATTGGAGGTGTGTTGCGTTGACCTAGTTGTATATAGCCATTGGAGTGGCGACGATTTTTGAGACCAGACAACTTGTTAGTTATTTAAGTCTGTTATAGGTATACTTGAAATTATTATTTGTTATTGATTTCTTATTTAATTGTTACGAACAACATTTCTTATTTATCATTAAAATTATATATTGTTTTGATATCAGTGTTGGATATACGAGCATTTCACCATCATTTGTGACAGAAGGGTGCATCATTGCGAGGTGAGGGTCCCACAGGCGAAGAGATGGAAGGCCAAGCAGGCACATCCATGTGGTGTAGCTGAATACAAGAGGAGGCTTGATGCACTGGCTATAGATGATGTCATATGGACACAATACACTGGTCATAGAGTCTACCGTGAGTTTGAAGAGTCCTCTTTATATTCAGGTTATATGTGGTGGTAGACCATGATTGCTAGAACTTTCCTAAGAGGTGTCTGCGACAATATGGTTATGTTTAGAGTATCCCACGACCAGTTTCAGATATATCATCTTCAGGAATTGATATGTAGTTTTAGAGTAACTTCATCAACTCTGGTCATGTCATTAGAGATCGAGCAGTGTCAGTTCAGCATCCCTCGTAGTGTGAGGATGGTTACTTACAATTATATCTCACTGTATCACACCCTCACATCACCCACGTACAACTGATGTTGGGCCTTATATTATTGGAGTACATGTTGATGACGTGCCACCACCGCCTCATACAACAGATCACGCCAATGACCAACAACGCCTCCAGATGGTTGTCGTTATTATGATAGCCTCATGGGTTTGATAAACTCAGATGACGAGGTTTATACTAGATTAGCTCGGGATGCACACATAGCTCATTGGGGGCCTATTTAGATATCTTTTGTATTATTTGTATATTATTCAAACATCTTCATCATAACACTTTATTAGCTAATACTATTGATCTTCCTTATATTATTTAGACATCTGAAAATGGATTACATAAAAGAACAGGAAAAAACTTAACACTGCAATATGATTAATAAATAAGAAAAACGTAAACACTATCAAACGCTTCTGGACGTTTCAGCATCTCTATTATGCCGTCAACAAATCTTAAAAGCTTAACATCTAACTAAATCGACCCCTTTGTTATCCTAAGGAGAAAATATCTCCACATTTCCTTCACATCTTTTTCGGTCTTCAACTCTATAAGGTTGTATTTCACTCTCCCGTTAGTATCAATTCAATCTTTACGAAAGTCGATCTTTCTCACCTTTTTGTTTTCAGCATCAGGCAACAATTTATTCAACTTCGACGTCAGGCTGACAAGAGATGAGGTGTCATCCAGAAGGCGGAAATCTACAGGAGGAGAAGTTATGTTTAAGTACACTTCTACCTTAATAAAAAATTGTGAAAACGACGTTTTTTTTAGATATGTTTATCAAACAACATGTGACCCCCTTATTTATACAACTTTGTATTTATTCTAGACCACACAAACTGTCGGTGCAATAACAATCATCCAAAACTGTCAACAAATTCCTGATCATCCAAAAAAAATCACTACCAAAAAATTTCGGTATGAACCTGTAAATTTCAAATTTTTGATACAAATTGCAATTTTTTAAAAATTTCAAATTTTCTAATATATCAAAATTTTCAAATACACTACCGAATATTTCATCTAGTACCAAAAATTTCATTGTCATTATTGAAAATTTCATACAAAAATTTAATCTTTTTTCAATCAGGAACAATTTTGAAAATATAAAAATTTGGAGGTGTTAGGTTTATTGGGATGTCAGGTTAAATTCTCCACCGAAATAGTATCGGTACAGGTATGGGCCTATATGAGCCCAAAGTTTTAAACCCGTTATCCGTATCCAACTCGGTTTCGATACTTTCACCCGTTTCACTCTCTGTCTAATGCTTTTCTCGCCGCCGTTCCCAACTTCTTCTTCTCCTCCGTGTAACGCTGTAACTACTCTACTTCTACCACGCACTTACTTTTCGCTATCTTCAGTTTTCTTCATTTGTTCTCGTGTTTCTAACTTCTGAAATTCAATCAATGCACGTCATTTAACTCTACCCTGAATACTTTTTTTTTATAGATTTTCTTACAGAATCACGTGTGTTTTTTGCAACAGTTTTCTATTGAGACAAAACAATGATAAAGAGAAGATTCTTTAAGGTTGATCATGGCGATAGGGATGGTTCTGGTCATTCTTCTTCATCCTCAGATGAAGATTATGATAATCAAACTGCAGAAGTAAGCCAGGACAATGATGATGACGATGATGAAGTTAGCTCAGCATCTTCTGGTTCGTTCATTCATCTTCTAGTTACATGATGTTCTAAATTCATTAAATTTTATACTTTTATTTAACTATTCGAAACGAGATTAGAAACATTCCACACATAATTTTCAGTATTAACCGTGAAAGATATAGATTGCTGCAGAAATAGTTGGAAATAGTTAAAGATATTCTCCATATTTTGACCTAGTTTGGAATTTGGATTAGTTTCTAGGTATTGAAAGCTTTTAAAATAAGTTAAAAGGTTTTCATTTTGAAAGAGTTTTAGAAGTTTATAATTGTTTACGGAGAAGTTAAAATCGAGGGCGTTAAAACAAAATTGAAACCTGAAAGTGAAAAGCGGAACCTATTTTCAACTGATATTTGCATGAATAAATAACCCATGTAGTAATGTTCTTTTGATATTTTATTTTATGCAAGTGCTTATTGAATGGAAACATGGTTTTGGATAGAACATTATGGCGGAATTTGATCCATGTAGCCGACTCCACTTAGTGGGATAAGGCTTGGTTGTTGTTGTTGTTGTTGTTGTTGTCGCTTATTGAGAAGTTTATCCGATTCCAAAGTGGGCTTTCTTCTTAGCTTATGCTTGAAAGCATGGTGGCTGAAACTCATTTACTCTTGTATGGCATTGTCTGACTGGTATTATGTAAAGAGGCTTGAGATGTTTTGTTTGCTTTTATGTAACACAACGGAAATGAGTTTATTGTTGGTCACTTTTCACATTTTTAACTTTTTTATTTTGGCGATGCAGGATATAAAAGTGACGATAGCTCTGCCAATGACATTGATGCAAACTCTGCCGACACCAACTCTGCAGGTAGGGATAGTTTATAGTTTCTGTTTTGAGTTATTTTCTTTCAGCTCAAATTTTAAATTTTATTGATGATATTTTGTAATTTGTATTCCATCAGCAATGTTAGAGACCGTTAGTCCCCTCGTGAGTAATTAAGTTTCCTATTCTAGCTTCAAGGACACACAAAAGGATCATATCTACTATATGCCGCCCTCTCTCAATTTTATCTTTCAACCTCGATTCTAATGAAGTTAATAATGTATACATTGACAATCATTGCTCTATTATTGTTGATCAATCCCTTCATTATTTGCTTATTCACTTCCATTTTGTTTCCTTTATGGAGGCTAGAAGTCACACTTTCATGAATGCGGGTGTGACTCTGTGAGTCGAGGTAGCAGGAGAGTGTGAAGCCTGGAGAGTTGTACATGTGGTTATTTTGGACCTGAACAGTGATGAAATGTGTATAGAAGAGTATGATTTGGCCCTGGTATAACAGAACTTATACAGAAGTAGGGCTGTTCAAACAACTGTTTAGAATCAAACTAAGCCATGAACTGAACCGAACTACCATTAGAAAAACTGAACTGTTAAAATAATTTACAAATTAAGTTGTATTTTATTATATCAGTTTACTAATTGAACTTCAAATATCTACAATTTGGTTATCTCAAACAAATCGCTAACTTCACGCTGCTACTCCATGAACCATATGATGAAAGAGTTGTTTCCTTAACTAAGGATTTGAAACTGAAGTTTCATGGGTGAGAGAAATACCACAAACATGTGATGATTCCAATCCCTTACTTTTATCATCACAGGGTGATGTTGTTTGAGTGGATTTAACAAATTTATTTTCCATAGAGTTCCCTTTTCGATAACGTTTCAACTTTTGCCTTTTTAACTCACAAACTCATGCAAATTGCAATATTGCCACTTAGATCAATTCAATGCTGACAAGTGCTGCTTGCTGCTTAGTTTCACAACTCAAGGTTGGCATGCAGTAATGGGTGGGAGATGGAGCGGGTTTAGAACAAGATAAAGTGAATTTTTATACAGAATCAACCATCTTTCTAGCAGTGAGTCTAAAAAATAGATGTAAAATGTAGTGAATTGAAGGCTAACATCATAAATTTGCATTTAGTGTTTGACTTTTGAACACAATGAAATTTTTTTGGTTTGGTAAAATATATCAAATCAGTTTGGCATTTAAACCATAGTGCACTTAACCATTGAAGCGGTTCTGTATAGTTTAGGTTTAGCAATTGCAGCTCGGTTCTGCTTTCTCAAACCACTTTTGTGGTTCAGTTCAGTTTCTCCTTTAAACCAAACTATGAACAAACATATGCAGAAGGGTATGATTGTAATCTTTTACCAAATAACCTAGACTCCACATTTTGGTGCATATTTTGTGTTCAATTCCAACATTTTTTAGGGTTTTAATTTAAGACATGGTTGAGAAAGAGAGTGGGACATCCCATCCTTAGGCAATCTGATGCTTATGGTGGTGGTAGAATTTATTTCATCCACAACATGATTTATATTTTTTTTTATAGAAAATTTAGTGGATAATCAGAGGGTACATCTATAAGAGACACCTGTTAAACGCACCGCCTTCAGAATCAGAAAGCAGATGGGGAAATTGAGTTTCAATAGGACCATAAGTTCTTTGATCATAGTTATAGCTCTTTACACTCCTCAATCGGTGTCCTAACTGAATATGTTATTACGTTCAAGGAACTGTGGGGCATTGTTAGTTTTTGAATTGTATTAAGCAGGCTCAAGTCATGAGTTTTTGTTGAAGATATATTTGATGAAAGTACTTAATGACCTGCACCGTAGGATGTTTGAGTCACCTCACTCTCTCATGATTGTTTTTTCATTGGCATTACTCCAGGTCCGCTATATAGTGATGATGCTGGAACTATAAATGACAGAGAAGTGTTTATTAACAAGAAATTTGCTAGTGAACGTGACTCTGAGAAGTCTAATATTATGCCTGAAAAGAAACCCCTACCAGCAGATATACAGTCCGATTTTGTCGTACAAATAAAATCAGTTTTTAAGTGCAGGCTATGTCCTCGGATTATATGTTTGACTGAGGACACTTTGCGGAATCATCTTCAATCAAAGGTACTGCACTTTTTTCTCTCGTTGCGCAATATCCTCGTGCATCAATCTTTACTATTTCTGTTACTATAGCTTGAGAAGACAGTCATAAACTCTTAACTGTTCTTCCCAAAAGATCAATTATTACAGTTCTATGTATTCATTGGTTGGAAGTTCAGTAACTTGTTTGGACTGGGAAATTCAAGGAAGATGTTCACTATTTAGGTACTCTGAGATAGTAGTTGCACTCTTCAGGTTGTTCTAATCTTTGTGGAGAACCCTTTTTTAGCAAATGATAGAGCTTGAATCAATAATGCCGTCGATCTTTTGCATCTGATGAAATGTCAAAATTTTACTTGCCATCGATGTTGATCTAATGATGACATTGTTATTATAGAGACATGCCCGGTCTGAAAAAATGCACAGGGAAGGCAGGCTGAAGGTCATGCTCAACAGCGATGGTGAGATAGAGAACCAAGAGGATTCAGAATCAGATAAAGAAACTGAAGATACTGAGGTTGGTTCTTCAACAGTTTGACTGCATTTTACAACTCGGCTAAATGAAAATATTAGACCTATTGGATTGAAGAAACTGATTGTTTATTAAACATGCTAGGAAAACTAATATTTTGTTAACTTTTTAGGTTTATACAAAGAATGACAAAGGACCGAAGCCACATAAGGACAGATCAAATAAGAAGGTAAAAAAACGCTAGCATTTCAATTTTCAGACAATGATTATATTGATACTGTAAAGTTTAATTTAAATCTTGAATGGCAGAAACGTGATAAACCAAACTCAAGGAAAATGCGGTCATCAAAAGGGTCATATAAAAGAAGCCGCAAAAAATGAGAACTGAAATACGTTTGTATTTGACATTCTGTCGAGCAAGTTTTTTAGCTACTACCATTTGCCTTTGTGTGCAAATCATGTGTACTCTAATGTATACTCTACGTATAGCTGTTTTGATCTCCCTTCTCCATCTTTTCCAACAATTTTCTATATTTTCTTTCCATTTGGATTGGAATTGCTAACTCTGCCCTCCCCCTTATAATTAATTTCCTACAGCATTTGATTTGTTTTCCCTCTTAACATATTAGTGTAACTTTATATTCAAAGCTTCCTTGTTTAAGATATTATTATGATTATGATATATTGACGATGAATTTTGCTTCGTTTTGGAGATTAGTTGTTGAATTGGATCACATATATGCTGAATCATGATGTATGCGCATATCTTGTTTGCTGTTGAAACTTATATTTGGGTATTTGATTTAAAGTTAGTATCTGCAAACCCCGCAGTTTTTCTTTTAGATATTTTTAGTTGGTTTACCCTTGTAACACTCATTTTATATCGTTTCTAAAATTCAGGAGCATAATTTTCTTTTGACATTGCATCTTTTAAAAAAAAGGAAAAATTACCAAACAGATTTCACCTTACATTCTTATGTGTTGCCTATATTTTTCTAAAAGATAACCGATGTCGTAATTCATCACCATACAAGAACCGGTTGTTGCATGAATATACATTAGGCTGGTATACAAAAATATACATCCTCCGAATAATGGTATAAATACAAAATTACTTCTAAATTTATTGAATAATTTGATGTTGTAGTGTGCTCTAATGAGCTTGTGAACAATTGTTAATAAACAGCAGGTTGCTCATTTGACCCTTATATAAGAATACTATATTTTTTAAAATTTAAAATTGTATTTTCTGTGTTTGGAGATGTCAAAATGCATTATTCTGAGATACATTTTATTTTGAATATAAATATGTATTTTGTGTATTTGGAGATGTATCTTCGAAATGTCCCCTGAAAGTTGTTCAAAGTGTGAAAAATAGAAAGGAGAAATTATTTCGGAGATGAATTTCTAGAATCCTCCCTAAATCATATCAGAATAACACCAACGTAAAATCAAAGTAAAATGAAGTTATATTAAAGTTAAAGGAAAGTAAAAATTCATATATTAATAAAATAAAAGTCAAGAAAATTCATACATAACATTTGTTTGAGAAAAAAAAGAAAAGAATACATCCCAATATAAATTACTAGGTATGTCTAATCGTCAGTCTCCTCTGCCGCCGGTATTCCGTAACTCATAAACCATTCGCTCCACTAAAGATAATTAGGGATTGTTATCCTCAAAGAGTCTTGACTCTATGGCTGCTCAACCCATCTTCGCAACACACCGACATACCACTATCATGCTCTCTACATGCTTATCCCAAACCTTAAGTACCTCCTAGTTAACTAGCAAAGGTGGTCCTCCAAGAGCGTCTAGCGTCATGATATGGCGTGACACCCTATAAAACCATGTCAAGTAACCCTCGACACAAGTCCAGTGTACATGAGTTGCCTCTCGACGATACTTATCTAGTACTAGATGACTCTCGAAACCATCAAATATCGCATGTAGATCTCTGTGACGGACGTCAGGAGGAGCAGACTCATGGGGAGGTTTTGTAATAATCTGCAAGTTACTAAACAGACGTACCACTCGTCTAGGAAAATAAGGATACATAAGAGATACCCCACTTCCAATTAGTCGGAGTATAAGAAAATGATGTCAAACTGACGTGTCTGACGGGGACCCCCATTTGTGCAGAAGCAAACATCATTTGGTACCATACGGTCAAGAGAGACTTTGATGGTTCGACCGCACCATTATCCTTGTATAGAACAAAAGTGGCTGCACAACGCTAGTTCTTTGTGTAGTCATGCACAACTTCAAACCCGATGATACGAGGGAAGTGAGAGATGATCCATCCCTTAAAATGGTTCAGAGACAATATTAATAACAAGTGTAACAAATGAGTTATGAAAATATTAGTAACAATAAATTATTGTAAGCAATGTGCAGTACTCCATCATTTGCTTTGTCTTCCAAAGATGAGTCTCACTCAGATTCAAGTATAAGAAGACTAAACAGGAGCCCCCTAGTTGTACTCGTGAATCGCACTAAAGTATGAGAAGTACTTAAGGTAGACCACATCGACATATGTTGCACTTTTGTCCACAAATATGGACATGCCAACCAAGAACAAGAGGTAACACCTCAATGCGCAATGTGGTGGTACTCAACTCGCATATCATCGCGTACGACATCCAAGACCCCCTGTAAATGGCCTTTATAAAAGTTTTTCAAAAAGCTAAACCGTGCATGAGCACCTCTAGTGCGAGTTACCTCCTTCGTTGCCTTACCATGATCAGTCTCCAACAGGGTAACCATCAAATTAATACAAGTACCAAGTTTTATTAAAATTATTGGTCTATAGGGCTTACACTAATAATCTCCCACTAGCACTAGATCCAATCAGACATACCCCTAATACCCATAGATCTAGCATGACCATCATACTTTTGCTGCGCAAGAAGTTTTGTTAATGGGTCAATAACATTGTCAAGTGTAAGTACTTTGTATATCTTCACATCTCCCCTATCTATTATCTCTCGAACGAGATGATATCGTCTAAGTATGTGTTTGGATCATTGGTGAGATCTAGTATCCTTAGCTTGTGCAATAACACTATTGTTAACACAATAGAGATCAATGGGATCCACAATACTATGAATTATGCCAAGTTAACTAATGAACTTCTTGCTCCAAACAACTTCCTTTGTTGCATTTGAGGCACCAATGTACTAAGTTTCGAGTGTAGAATCAATAATTATATCTTTATTGAACTTTTTCAGCTCACAATGTCACAATTTAAGCAGAACACATAACCATACTGCGATCTAAAGTCATTCTTATTTGTTTGGAAGCTAGCATCGTTGTATCCAATTACAAAGAGCTATTATTGACCTCTCTATATCAAGAATGATTCTTTAGTCCTTCTCAAATACTTAAAGATATTTGTAACACCCTAAACCCCACATACAATTTAAAATGAAATTTAGTTAAACAAAATGCAACCATTTATGGTTTCATGCACAATCAAACATAGCCTGATCCATAACACAAGTTATAACATAACAATTTAGAATCTGTCATCGCATGCTCACCTTCACTTAGGGTATCATTGCAGCAGAATCAGTATTAAACCAAATAAACATAATATTGCCACTCATGAAATTTAGTCTCATAAACCTCCACCTTCATAACGCAATAAAAGGAGTTATATTATTCAACACGAAACAACTTTGAGATCTCAAAAATATATAAATAATAACTTCAACAAAATAAAACAAGTGAAAGCAAACGTTCTTAGTCTGATGTTACATGATCGGAGCAAGAACCTACTAATAAAATGATAAAACAATAGAACCAAGAGCTATCTTCCACTTACTTTAACATTGTTACTCCTGAGTAGGGCTAACAATGAATCGAAACAACTCGAAAATAGTTCAGAACTCGGTTCGACAATTAAATCGTTGAACTAGGTTCATGAACCAAATGAGCTGAATATGAGTGAAAAACTAAGTTCGTTAAATAAATGAACTGAACTTAAACTATACATAGTTCGAATCGTTAGTTTCATGAGTCAACTCGATTATATATGAGAATGATTATATTGTCTCTAAGAGTAGGTTTAAAGATTTACTCCAAATCTTAACCATATATTATCTATTACATACTAATTATACCAGTAAATTTGACAATTGCATTTATAGTCATCCTTGTTGGAGGCACTATGGTATTTGCAAAATAACATGTGTAATGAACGTTGCAAGATCTGTACACATTGTATGATGGAAATGTATCAATTTCTAATAATTTTTAATGTATTATTGCATTAAATTTGCAAGGTTCCTAAATATTTATATGAAGTTGTGGATTTTTGAGACAAATTTAAACTCCAATTGAGTAGTTTTTGAATTAAACTTTCAAATGTATCTCTTGAAAGTTGTGTAGTTTTTGAATTAGTAAATTTTTGAGACAAAGTTAAATTTCAATCTGATAACTTTTATTTTATTTCGAAATTAAAAAAATGACAAATATATATAAAAAAAGGACTTAAATGGATTTTAAGCCCGTGAACCAAGTGAGATGAACCTAACGAGTTGAACGAAACTGTTCGTGAACTTATAACGAGTCGAGTTTGAGCTTAAAAAAGAGTTCGTGTCGAACTCAAACCGAGAATTGAGTTGAACCAATTCTTAACGAGTCGAGCCGAACTGAGGTGAATTCGACTTGACTCGACTCATTTCTAGCCCTACTCCTGAGTATATGCAAGTTGCCCATGGTGGACGACATTAAAGCAAAGGGTGAGAATACACTTCAATAATTAACGGTGAAAACAAGCGGGAGTAGATTACATATAACAATAATATACACATTACTCAATCAACACCAACATATTAAATATTCTCATCCAACAACACATTAACAACAATCAATACAAATGCAATACTTATGCAATATACTCAACACCGACTCGACATGCATGTGGTACCGAATATGAACACTCATGTTCATTTCGCTCCCCGATTCCCACCATAGGATCAGATTCCCTATTGGACCAGAGCACACCAAATCACTACCATCATCATAAGTAACGCTTCACTAATCCCCCTTAATAGAAATTAGCTAATCGCACCTGATCCATCACCATAGGATTGAGGCTCACCAAAAGAGCCAAAGTTTCGACAACATGAATGCATGGACTCTCAACATGTAACAATAAAACTTACACTTTGGTCTCTCTTTTGACCGTGTATGCCACTAGTAACATAATCAACATAAACATACATAACATATGTATAATTAAATATGCAACATCTTTAATAATCACCATAATTATTCATACTCAACAATTCATTATTGACATATATAAGCATCTTCCACGCAACATTATTATAACCACACCACTATAACAACATCATCAATATTCAATACTTACA